TATATGGGCGCTTTCAGCTTTGGCCCTTTTTGCCCTCTGCAGTTATTTCTAGTGAGAAAACAAAACGGGCACTACAAGAAAAAGCATGAAGATGCAAATTGTACTGTGTTTTCCATCATCTATTGAAAATTCTGATTTAATCCTCATCGTTAACTCCAACATTTTTAAAAACATTTTCAACTAACGTATTGTGAAACAGTTATAAAGTAAGACCTTATTATAAAGAAGCTGGAAATGAGTATTATTGATAAATAAATACTTGATTCCAAGAAGCAAAATATGAGACAGTGAAGTGAGGCAAAATTGAATCCCCAAACGATATTAGTTAAGACTAATGAACTGTTCTACGAAAGCGATATAGGATCAAAACCTACTTCCTAGTTTTCAGCTTTCTGAATAAGCAAAAGAAGAATCAGAAGTAAAACTTCAAATTACGCGACTCTCATTTTTTTTTTTTTTTTTTTTGAATTTATATTCTTGGATGTTGAAAGAAAGGAAATGCATGAAATAATATATCTGAAACCTCACTGAAATTTAATAAATTTATTTATTTATTTATTTATTTTATTTGTCAATAACTGCTTTCAAAATATAATACAGTAAAATAACTGATAAGCAATATATGTTCAAAACTTATGCATTGCTGCCTATAGATTTGATTAAAATAGAATATGCATGTCACATAAGGGAGTTTTAATCAACAACAATGTCTACAATGGACAGAACATTAAAAGGGATAAAGCAAGTAGATGGGAAGCACTGGATAAAATGATAATACAATGAAAACATAATGCAATGCTGTGGTGACATTAGCACCAGTGGCGCTGAATTTATAAATGATTGTGACTGACTTTCATAGTCTAACGTTGTCGTGGAAGGTTTTGATTGTTTAATTAATAATTTTGGGAGAGGTGTTTGATCGCAAGGAGATTGTCTTGGACGTAAATGTAAATGCGTGAGGTAACAGAAATATAATCCAAGTTCTTTATTAGCAGAAGTAATGGGACAAAACGTTGATAGAGAACAATTGAAATTGGAATCGTCGGTCCTTGGCGATAATTACACATATACTAAATCTTTTAGCAATGGTGATCCTTATATAGCAATTTGTTAAAATGTGGGAGTGGTTTATAATTAGACATTTTTGTGCAAAGAATGATAGTAAGTAACTTTAACAATAGGTTTAAAAATGGATATCACAAAGGAAAGTACAATGGGTTGCAATAGACATTACATGATATTATGTGAATTGATATAAGATCAAAGGTCAGTTAAACCATTACGATGAATTGTAAAAGACATCAATGGATTGTTATATTAAGCATTGTTAACATTTATTTAATGCTTCGCGATATTAAAATCCGCGACAAACGTTGCTTGAATCTTTTGCTTCTAAGCGATCAAAACATCATTAGCGAATACGCAACATTGCAGTCTTTTTTTCTTCTCAGTAGTACTGGGACCACGTTATTCCTCCAAGTTTCGAATTTCCAGAATTTTAAAGTTCTGCTCTCGATATGACATTAGAATCTATGTAAAAAGCAGTTAGTCTTATAACATAGTTGTTAATTACATTCATAATTAACCATTCTGCTGATCATAATTAATGTTATTCATATTCATAAGCCATGTTTACCTGTGCAGCCTTATTTTTGGTATCAAGCAAAGACAAAGGTTCACTGCTTATTACTACTTATCACTATGGATAGCATGATATAAAATGGAAGTTAACATCTAATTAATTGTATCGGAGAATTTTAGCATTCCTTCTGACATTACCAAACATAGATAACAAATGAACTAATGATACAATTAAAATTAAATGGTTATAAACAATCAGCTTACTTCCTGAGCTTGTCCATGACAAAGGAGTTAAAAGCACTTTTAAGCTGTAAATCCTAACAACGCAAGTTCGCAAATTCCAAACCAAACTGATAGATCAAAATTCTGAACAAATTGTATGTAATGTAAAATCATATAAATTGTGGTGACAAACTTAGTTACCAAAATCTCGGTCCGCTCGTAACTGCTTCATTTGAGATCAGATGGCAAAGCTTATCAGTTAAATAATTGAGTTTTGCCTTCCTACTTTGTTTTCGAAATAATATTACGATGGTTTGTGCAAAGTTAAGAAACACATTTTTCTGGCCACCCAAACTATTTAAACTTTATTTTTCTTTGGACGGAAGCATTCATGATGAGAAAAAAAATGGTTCAATTACATCTGTGTAAAAATGACACCATACTGCAAAAAGATCACATGCTTCACTGAAAATAGTGCATTTTGCATATAAATAGGAGCTTCTATAAAACTGTAAAACTGTTCAAAATTCAAATCAATATTATTCATGCCTGAGCCATATCATTTGGTGCTTTTGCTTTTTATGCTATTTGGTTTGTGGAATTTTATTCAAGGACAGAAAGAGCTGTACAGCTGTGAACACGAAAGCAATTCGTAAACAACTTTCAGTACCTCCCAGGCTTCTGCAAACTATTTGTCAACTGAGATAGTATTACCTTTATCAAAGATGGTTTCTTGTTATGATATAATATTATATGCTCGTCCCTCAGTTTCATACTTTTTTTTGGTTATTTCGGTAAGACTTATGTTAGTGATTCTCGTCCTTGTTATGTTCTTAATTTAAGCAGGATCAGCTTTGGCAAAAATTGCACTGCGATAATATTCAAAGCCCTCAGATTTTTTTCAAGAGACTAAAGTATGAATCATTGTGATTAATGTGATAGGCCGTAATATTCAAATTAGTACTTTTAGTGTCAGTGCACAACCGAGGAACAAGAAGAAACGTAGGCTGATTTTTATTGAAGTGTTGGATACACTAACAGCATTACAATGATGGTAGATATTTTTCTGGAAGAAAATGAAAAATCATCTCCTTCTTCGCTAGCGCTCCAAAATGGAGATGTTTTGCTTACAGAACAGGTTGAATTATTACTGTAAATCCTAAAATTTTTTCATTACAGATTGATCTTCAATGACACACGTAAAAATTTTGAAATCATTCATAAAAAAACTTTGTTTTCCCTGTGGGGTAATTGCTAATTCAAGAATTCTTTACTAATCAAACTTTAAGATATTAACAGGCCCGAGAAATGTTTTCATTATGCGATCATAACGGGAAGGGATTTGTGGTAAAAATGGATTTGGCTCGTATTAATGGAATGATACCAAGTATATCACAGCAACAACTGGAACTGTTTTTTGACAATGCAGATATTTTTAAAACCAATTACATTACTGAAAATCAGTTCATTAATAACATCAGTAAGTTTACTTTATCTTTAGATAGCATTAATGTGCTGATGAATGAGGCTATTCAAATTTTAATCAAATAATGCTATATTTTTAGATGTTCGTTGGTCTTTCATTTTTTTTTAATAAGAACAGTGTGGATATCACATACACATATATTGCAGAACCCATGCTTCTACGAACTGCCTTCAGTGATTCGCAGTTAATAAAAACAAAGATATGTTTTTCATTTCCTCAGTATATAAATTAATTAGCTAAGGGTTACTAGATATTTAAATGATAAATTTATAAGGTTTGTAAATGAACAAATCATAGCTATTATATTTTCAAGAGTGATTTTTTTTGTACAGTAAAGTTATCGAGTTAAAGTGATGGTTTTGCTGCTATGAAGTGCTGAATCTTAAAAAAAATATCACTGAAATTTTTGCCTAAATGTAACCATAATTTAAAAAAGCAGAAAATCTAACTCTAATATTCAAAATATCATGAACACTTTTCATTCCGTTTATCACTTGCTTATAACTGCTTGTTTTCACAATTTAGAATTACGAAATATCATCGGCAAATAATCTTATTTGGAAAATAGTATGTTCTCGATTCATAATTTAAAGAACATTTTAAAAGGTTTTCTTGTTCAATGAATGGCCTACTACTATGTAGGTAAAACGAGATCTTAAAGGCTGGGACTTGCATTATTCGAAAAATTTTTGGTTCCCAGCTTCTAAGTTTCTCAAAAGAATTAGGGTGGCTTCCTTGTTCTTGTTCTTGTATTCGTTCCACTGATAGATGCAGGTGCATCAGCAATTTTCACAACGTTTAAACATATTATCACAGTAGTTTACTTCCCAAAGAGAGAAACAGAAACAAAGCTTTTGTAAATTCAGAAAAAATTTGGAAACTTTTCCATGATTTTTTGGTTAGAAGTGTAACATATAAGGAAATAGACGGAAAATTAATTACGTAAGATCCATTTATAGATGCTGGATGAAGAAGATCGCGAACTATGAGCTTCATCAGAAAAGTTAGGTGTCTCTATCAAAAAAACTTTAGTTATGTTCAGAAAAAATTTGTGAAAATTTTGATGTACAAGCCTTTACTTGACAAATTCTAAGTTGTGTCTTCTTTCCATCCTGGGTTCCCTTGAATTTAAGTATGTAAAGTTCAAATATCACCAGGACTGGAAAAACATATTCCATGCTATAGCAATGTAAATTCAATTACATTATCTTCCATTTACAATGCCAATCTGTAGCACATACATGTTGTGTTTTGTTATAACATGAATACTGGAATAATTGAGTTTTCCAGAGAAAGTAGGACAAATGTTCTTTGCATCTTAAAATTGTCTAGCTGCATCTTTTTCCAATAAAACTTCAAGAAGATTTTAAAGAAATGGGAACCAAAACTTCTGTACGTTTGATAGGTCTTGGAAAAAAGAAAAGACTGAATTTATTGAGCAAAAATAAAGAATCCATCAGCAAATTAGAACTGTGCACTTAATCTGTGCAAAGTAAAGCTCACACAACTTGTCTCGATTTTTCGAAGTGCTTTAAAACATTCAATTATAGTTATTCATTAGTTAAGCTGTCATTAATTATTAAGTTCAAAATAAAGAAGCTTTCACTAACATAACCGATCAATTAACTGATGTAAATCATTTCAGGAAACAAAGGAAGAGATGAATTTAACAAAAAATGATCAAGTTTTAGAAGAGAGTAATGAGAAAATAATGAGTGAAAATGAGCAGAAAATGAAAACGAAAGAAATAAGTAGAAATATGATGGATTCTGATCAGAAAGCAGTGGATTCAACAACAGCTCCAGGAAAATCGATTTCTACTGGAATTCTTATGGGACTGGACAAGGCATTTCAGAATAAGGATCTGTCCGGAATTACTGAACAACAATATCAATACTACAATCGACGTTGTGAGGAACAAAAGCAGCAGCGTCGTCAACATTTACAACATCGGCGAATTAATGATTTTACTGGCTCATTAGAAGACGAACTGTCAGCTGCAGTAATCGGAATAGGCGACAGTGAAACAATTCTTCAGGCGATGTTTGTTGTTTTTTCTATCAAAGTTTCTTATGTACATACTTTTTTTTTTCGATTATTATTGTTTCACTTCTTTTATTCGTATATTTCAATTATTATCCATAAAACATATTTCACTTATATGAAATTATATGATTTATTGTATCCGAAAAATCAATTTAATGAGGAGATATCTAATACTACTGATATCTAACTAAACATTTCTTTTTAGTTCCACTCATTTTTCTTTATTTTGTTATCTTTTGTATTTCTTGAAGACTCCAGGAATTTCAAAGGGGGTAAAAAAATGTAATTTTTAGTGGTGCTAACTTAATCTTGCTTTTGACAGTCAATTAGATAAGTGTTAGATTGACATTTTTTAACAGCGAACAGTGCGTTTGTCTTTATTTCCTTTAGTATTATATTTTTTTTGCAAAAAAAAAAAAAAAAAAAATTGTATAGTAACTCAATTGAATAGAAAACCTCAAAAGAATATTTTTCTACCAGCTGTCATTATAATTGTAAAAAAGTAGTTCCGCTTCCATGATATTTGTCGGCATGTGATAGTCATCTCAAAGTTATTTATACTTTTTTTAAAATAAGTTATGCATTCCTAATAATATATGATGTAGAAAATAATTCTGTAGATTTATCCTGCATTGATGATACAGGGGATCAGTGCAGTACATTCGATGTGATCAAAATTGGAAAAATTTTTAAAATTTTTAGTTCATGAACAATTTTGTTGTCTAAGAATATGCTGAAAATTTTCAAAAATTTCATGGATCTTTCTTTTTTACTTTTTTGAAATAACTATGCTAACCAGTCACTAAAAAATTGTTCAGCAATCAATAAATCTGATGAATTTCTTCATTGATATTTACAGTTTCAGATCAAAATGATAATCAATTGTAGGCCACAATAAAATTTATTTGGAAGGTTAAACTTTTAATTCACTCATTACTTGAGAATAAATAAATCCATTGCAGAGAATCAGTGATCGAATATCCATTTGCCGTATATGACAGCGGTCCATCGACTTTTAATTCCCCAAAACAATCAATAATGGAATTAAAACAAGGTTTCAAGGTACGTTTTATATTAATCGATGTCTCGAATGAAAAGTCATCAAGAACATTTTTTAAGCAAGTTGATAACTCAGGAAGGTACTTTCAGTTTTTTTAATATCTTTAAACTGACGAAAATATGATTCTTTCATGCTGCATTTGACAATATTTATTTATCTGACCAGTCCTTTTTCTTTTTTTATTTGGATATTTTTAGTTTAAAAGTAGTGGCATCCGAAAGTTGATTTTATTTCTTTTTTCTTTTAAGATTTTGAAAAACACATTGCTAAAAATTCCATTAGTGTTTTCTTCCTTTGTTTTTTTGTTTTTTTTTTTTTTTCAATTCAGTATTTACTGATGAAAATAATACAAAATGGAGTGTTTTTGATCTCATAAGTTTCCTTTTTGGGTGCTTAAAAGTGAAAAAATAATAAAGAAGCGTTTGAGTATTTATCCGATAGGACAAGAAACTTTTTGGTGACTCATGGAAGGAAAAGACCAATTTTGCTGTCTTATACTGCAGCTTTAAGATGCTAAGTTGAATTACAGGTGAATGATTTAAGAAGGATTAGTCAGGAAACGACGAGTCAACTGAATTTGTACAAATGCTCATATTTTTCGGATGTGAAGTTATCACTCGAATCTCGACCACTAGCTGATGTTGGCTTTTTTTTATTTATTCTTTGGCTAATAATTAAATAATAAGCAATAGGTTTACAAGTTGGAGCTTATCGTCTTATGCTACTTGCATAAATTCTTTTGTTGTCGGAAAGACACAAGTAGAGAACAAGAAAGTGAAATGCTTTTACTTCAGATTTTAATACTTCGTTATTCCAACTTAAGACTGTGAAATTTTGTTAGTTTTACATATTGTGCACAAACGAACTAATAAATTAAAAACTGAAGCGATTTCTGTGAAGCAAAGGGATGGATTGTTAAAAAAGTAAAGGTTTTTTGAAGACAGAAAAATTATATCAATGAGTTCTTAGGTCATGTCAGTGAAATTGTTTCCGAAAGTTCTCTATAGAAACTGATACAATTGAAATTTTTATATTTAAATGATTTAACTAATTGAACAATTCATTGCAATTAACAAGGTTATTTGCAGGAATTACGCGAGTGTGGAATAATAAATAGGGTGGAACCACCATCTATGGTAAGCTTTAGCAATTTAAACAAAAGCTGAATCAATTTCAAGTATCAGTTATCAGAAATAAATTCAAAACTTAAATGCGCATCTGCAGCTAACATATGATTTATGGGCACTAAATTCATGTTTAGATGTTTTAGACTAAGTGAGCAGATCTCTTTAATTTTTTCTTTAAAGCACTACATAAAGCTTTCCCGAACATATGCAAATATCTAATATGTGTTTTAAAATTCGTATATATGAATTTTTAATATACTTTTTTTCTTGCATACCTCTCCTGTTTGGAAATATGCTTGAAAAGAGTACGCTTTTTTTAAATGAATTTCAGCCACGATCAGATTTTTTACCAGATCGAATTTTTAAAGTGGTTTTTTTGGGCGATTCGGCTGTTGGTAAGACTTGTTTCCTGAGTCGGTTTTGTCACAATCGATTCAAACTTCTTTTTAATGCCACTATAGGAGTTGACTTTACTGTTAAAACAATCCGTCTGTGTAACCGTGTTGTTGCTGTACAATTATGGGATACTGCTGGACAAGAAAGGTTTTTATTTCTGGATTTATCTGCAAGTAATATGAACTTGTCCTGATATTCAACTTTCGTTATGCTTCGTGCATATATTGTTTCATTATGGAAAAAAACTGATTTTTCTATATTTTGAGATTCATTTTCTGTGTTAAATCATTTAAGATATGTTAAATTCAGCTTTAGAGTTGTTAATCTCTGACTCATTTTTTACTCAATGTTGCTATATGATTTTCTTAAGTGCTAATATACCATTAACGCGGAATTTACTGTAGATTTCGAAGTATAACAGAACAATATTTTCGAAAAGCGGATGGTGTCATATTAATGTATGATGTAACCTCAGAGCGGTCATTTTTAAATGTTAGAAATTGGATTAATTCAATGAAAGCTGGTGTAGACGAAAGTTGTGTAATGTGTCTGGTCGGGAACAAGGTATTATTAATTCATTAGTTCAATATCTTAAACGTTGGAATTGCATAACAGCTGATGTTTTCTTGTAAAAAGCAGCGCTGGACTAATGATGGTTTCGTTCCTTTAATTTTACCATACAATCTGTGCTTAAAATTGATATTTTTTTTCAACCCTATTTCCTTTTTCCTTTGGCGTAGGCCAAGATACCAATGGTACCAATTTACAATTGGGTATAAAATCTCTTCCAACTGTTTAAGTGTAAAATTTACAGATTGACTTATTTGCGAATGATCAGGCCAGAGTGCTTACTTATAAATATGGCAAGAAGCTTGCTGAGGCAAGGATTTTTATCTGTTTTGGTATTTGATGATGGTATCCCTCAAATAACTAATTTAAAAATATTTGCTAGATTTCTAGAATTTCTTTTCAGGAATTTGGTATGTTGTTTTTTGAAACGAGTGCTTTTAATGGTTTTGGTATCAACGATTGCATGAGGGCTGTCGCCATGTAATTTTCTTTTTTTGTTATTTTGATCTGAATTCTTTATTCGTTCGAACTACCAAGCATTATCATCATGAAAAAAACGTGAGCAGACAATCGGATTAGGAGGTGGAAGGAAGAAAATGTTTAGCCTGAAAAATTCGCGACTCAAACTGCGCAAATATTGTTCTGATATGGATCATTTCAAAACGATAAGATGAAGCATATTATGGAATTTTCAAGCTGAACTGATGCAGTGGTGCTTGAGTAATATTTGAATTAGCTTATTAGATGCAATTTCACTCTTTTTTCCTTATACAGCTTTTCCTTTTTTAGGAAGTTGCAAGAGCGTGAGGATCAGCAAATGGTGGATATACTGAAACTTGATATGAGCTTGCAAAAGAAACAGAAAAGCTGGTGTTGTATTTAGTAAAGATTTGTAATCATTTATTCACTATTCAATTACAGTTTTATTTTCTTGAAAAAGAGAAGAAAAAAATGCGAAAGTTAATGATATAAACAATAGTTTTATTTGGTAAATTTTATCTAGAAAATGTAATGCGAATATGAAGCAGTAGGACTGAATTCAACAAAATTGGATTTTAAAATATCTAACCATGAAAAATCATTAAGAATTAATAAAATTAGTCTTCATAAAGAATAATTATGCATTATCCATCGATTATTGCTTCAGGACTACAAGGGAATTGCTTTTTATCTGGATGATTGAGGCAAGTATTTTGAAAGAGTTTCATATACATATATATTCACAGATCTTTTGAATATTATTCATCTTTGTGCTACGATGAAGTTCAGGCATTTCAACCGTCGCACAATTTGAAACGAATTAGAAAGAAATCATTTTCTTGACCAAAAGCCTTCTCAATTATATCCTAAATTCACGCGATGAAACTAGGATGTAATTTTTTAGTCTGAATTTGTCCTCATTTTCATTCGTTTAATTGCGAGTAGTATGCAAGCAGGAAATCCAGTTAATCATTTACAATATATAGAATAATAACAAGCGTCACGAGATTTTCAGGGAATTAATTGGATTGTTCATCTTAATGGAAAGTTTGTTTACCTGATAATTTCTCCGACGAGGTGTCTTTTAGTGAGGTCGGTATAAAGACTATGAGATGAAATGAATTCTTCCCTACTTTAAACAGGAAAAAGTAAGATGCCGATAGCTTCGCATCGTCCTTTATGATGTTGTCTTTCATTTTCTGTTGTTGAGAGTTTTCTTTGAGAAGAAAGCGATGCTAGGCAGAAGAACGAAAATTTATATGTTTACCAGTTTATTTAATTATAAATTTACCAGTTTCCGAAATTATTAAAAACAGCTGGAACATCATGAAACTTGATATTTTCATGCTTCTGTTATTTTTTTAACGAGAATTCTGATGGGTTATTTTTATTTCAAATCTATTTATCATATAGTTCTAAATTCCTGTACACAGATAGCACTTTGATCTCTGAAGTCTAAACGAATAAAATGTTTGAAAATTCCCCATCTGAACTAAATCTTTTGGCTCAAATACAAAAAATTTATTACTATTAAAGAATCCAATAGAACCGCAGACTGCATAACTGTCATTGTGTCGAAGATTTTGTAGTAGAGTGAAATGTAGAACTTGGCTGCTGTGCAGCAATGAATGATTCAGTTATTTTTGTCGTTACTATGCCAGTGAATGATTTCAGCTGAAATTCATGGAAAGATTATGGAAGAAATGAGCTGTGCTGCTACATCAGAAATATGACAACTGTAAGGATACAGAAATTCCTTTTAGTTGAACGTTTGAGCGCCTTTCAAGAACTCCTTAAACTTTTAAAATATGTTTAATTCTATTTGCAAGTATATATTTAATTTAATTTTAACTACAAATGACTTGAAAGTTTCTAGTAAGGCTATGCTGTATAAATAAACGAATGAATAATAACCTTATAATCCTTTACAAATAAGAAATACTGATAAATGTTTGAGAATGCGCAAAGGACAGCTGGAACAACGATTAGTGCATGAAGAGTTCCCAGTGAGACTACTACCACTACCGCTTTTGTAAATACCTGTAATCAAAAAAGATGGTTCAAAGAAAAAGATCTGTTGAGCACAAAGAATGTACCGAAAAAAAGATTAATCTGCTACAAGGATAGTTAAAATTTTGTAAATACGTACTTCACTCATATAGCTGGGAACAAGTAATAGAATTAAGACAAAGAACACTGTTGAGAAACTGCACTGAAGCAGTGGAAAACCAATGGCACTGAAGGAATGTGCAAGTCGTTCTTTCACTGCTGTCAGATCCGGATTCGATCCAGTACGATGGTAATGAAAAGTGATATGAGCTGGAAAGTCGACCGATAAACCAATGGACATAATCATTGTTGCCATCGAAACCGGATCGACATCGACATTCCAAAAAGTCAAAAAGCCAAATACTCCTGCAAAATCAGTTTGAGTCTTATTTTCAAAACAATTTATAAAAATTAGCAATTGCTATTTTTTAAATTGGTGTTGCAACTTAAATTTTGGAAATGTAGCATACTGAGCTTACCAACACATATTGATGCGGTTGATGAGATTGCAATCATCACGGCTAAAAAGTCAGGCATAAAAATGTAACACACTACTGCCATACATGCCAGAATCACAAGAGATGTTTGCAAAGTTGTCGCTACCAACGAATCAATTTGATCGGTGAATAAAGCTTCCTCTTCATAAACTGATGCTTCAAGATCTTATAAAAGTTATATTCAAATATGCAAATATCGTAATACAGAAGGTGCAAGCCATTTCAGTCTTAATTGAAATTTGGTGAATTAGCTTCAAAAGCTTCATCTATGCATTTGTAATATTATACAAAGTAAAAATCATATCTTGTAACGATCAACAATTGCTCTCCACGCTTTTAGCATATTCAGTCGTTGTATCCAATCTGACTGATTTTTTCCATGATAAGTGATCGTGACGTAAAAGGCTGTAAGACTGAAACTTGTTTGCATAAAAGTTTCTCAAAATTTTCTAAGGTACTGTTAACATTGTCCATTTGTACTAAAATTTTAAAATTTAAGGAAGTCATAAGCAAACTGCAGCAATCATTCATCAGTTCTTGGTATCCTGTGCATAATCAATGAAATTCGGTCGTTATGGAATTCTGTGTTAAGCCAAGCGAGCAAGCCTTGCAGATGAAAAAAAAGCCAGGTTTTAAAATCAAGATCTGGACTTATTCACTTGTTATAGTCCAGATTCAAGAAATATTATTGTCATAAGTTATACTTCTAATGAAGAAAGTAGAAGTTCGAAAATTAGTATCCACTGGAGCACCAGAAATTAGTCACCGATTAGTTTGATTGTCGAATTTCATAAATCCACCTAAGGATTCATATTCGGGCCATTCTAGGAATTTAAGCAGATCATTTGAGGTGTAATCATCAAATCCACTTTCATTGATTTCTTCATTCTTTGACTCCAAATACATTTCATAATCACGAAGCCAGAAATGCGTAAATCTGGAACCTTTGCATCCCGGCACTGCTTCAAATTGAGATACCAGTGCTTTCATACGCTCTCGCCTAGATGAATTTCTTAAATCTCCTGGTTCTAAGATGAACACCGTGACGAAAGTGTAGGACGGCATGATAATTTTATCGTGTAGCCTATTTACCTGGAAATATTTTGTCATTCTTTTGGAAATTGAAGTTGAACTAAAATAAAATGAATAGAATTTACGTAAGTACTTCAATCATAGGTGAATCAGCCAAAAATAATTTTCCTGGTGTCAGACAACCCTTCGCCATCAGCGCATATTTAATGCTCGCTGTTAAATAAATTACAAGCAATATAAATATCAAGGTTGTGGTGAAACCGCTTGACAGATATTTGCAGTAATTGTGCAAGAAAGCTGTAATCTAAAAAAATACCATCAGAAATAGATCACATTATCAAAGAAAAAAATTTCTTTCCTTGACTTACTGATACAAAGAGAAGCGTTAAATTGGTTAATAGTCCACTAAGTGCATAATTTTTGAAAGTAGTTATTTCAAATTCAAGATGTCAATTAATGCAAACATTCAAACTTGTTGTAATCTTATGTATTGGTTTATCAGTACTTCATGATATTATAATAATTTTGATGCTACTAAGTACAATGAAATAATAATAATACAATAAAAACAGCCATTCCAAGAGGGCTTAAAAATGAGTTACTTTCCGATCCTATTTACCCAGTTTTCATCTTCTCTGGCTTCTGTCTTGAGTAAAGGCACTTAGTTTAAAAAATCGAGGAAATCAACAAACCATCGATGGTCCCTGAGGCTTTCGTTCAGAGTAAATGCATTTTTGCTGCGTTTCTATTTGACCTCCAATACACAACACAGCAGCATAAAGTGTTATAGTATATACATAGTCGAGGAAAATGGCTACTGCATTAGCAATACACAGTAATCGGATTTCTGGTGTTGGTGTCGTGAATATGCCAATTCCAAAGGCTAACATGTTTGTCAATGATGTTATAGTTATCGATGGCCCAATATCAGTTAGGACCTAATGAATTATAATATAACAAAAACAGATGTTTTGTCAAAAAGCACGCGAATGATGCAAATTCCTCTCTCATAACAAAAATTTGAGGAAACAATATCAGACTTACAATTGCCATTCTTTCCCGAATTGTTTTGTGCGAAGCACTTCCATTCTTCGTCTCCATGTCTGTTCTGTTCCATGCATTGATCATTAAAAATGCATCATCAACCCCTAGAATGACGCAAATTCTTAGCAGATTTTGCTTTTTACTAATGCTTCCAAATAGTAAATAAATCATTTACATCAATAGAAACGATGATTACCTATAGCTAGAGTGAGAAATGGTGTGACGCAGAGGATAGAACCAGGCCGAAGACCTAGCAAAATCACAAGGCCGAGAGCCGCTGATGTTGCCATTAGTGGTGTGATGCAACCCACGAGAGCATAGAGTATTTTGATTTTGGAAAACTGTAATGTAATGAGCTACTGAGCTTCATATCTCGGATATCTTTTATGTATACAACAAATGGAACTTTCAAAAGAAATATGTTGCTGGAAGGAGAAATCACTGAAGAATATCAGTTACATGTGATTGCCTCACTTATTGAGCTTGGTCTTATCATTTTCTTCCTTTTGCTTAAGCTATATTTTCCATACATTGAAATATAAGGAAACATTAAATACCTGGAGCAAGATTATTAAGGGCTCCACCAGATAGCAATTTATTATTTTGTGATATTGATGAAGTCTTTCTATTTGGCGTCATCTTTTGAAAATGTTTCTTAAATTTTAAAGTCACTGATCCAGATTAAGATTAGACTTCCTAAACACATGTAACGTCATTCTTCGGGTTTTCCAGAGCTTTGCAGCACTTAACTTGAGTCAACAGTGGCCAAACCTTTGAGAATTTAATCTTTTATAACCGAATAAAACTCTAATGTAGTTGGAAGAATTCTTAAATAGAACTTCAACATTTTGCAGGTGCAGCAGTCTTTCGGGAAATTTTATAAACTTTTGTTAAAGGAACCAAAGATCACCAAGCTTCCGAAAAATTCGTCAAAAGATTGCACAATTATAAAAAAACACACCTGTCTCGTGTATGTTGAACTGATGCTAACTGTACCAACAGCAAATATACACATCACAATGAAACCAAGTAATATGTAAGGCATTAACGCAAGGCCGGCACGAATGATTTCATCCTGTGTATAAGCCAACGAAAATGCAATTGGTCGAATTAACGAATTGTTGTATTCACTAGAAAATTGAAATTATTGAGATGCACAAGAGACAGCATCCTTGCAATGCTAACAAGTTAAGAATCTTTTGAAAAGAAGGTAGAAATTATGTGGAGAAGTCAGAAAGTTTTTGCTTTTCTCACAGCATTGTAAGCTGTAACTTTACGCTGTGATCCTCACTTCTGATTAAGTGTAGATGATCTCCGACACTTCAAAACTCAATTTTACTTTCCCTTTATATTTCGTTGTATTATTTAGTCCATTATTTATTTTATAACGCTATAATAGAATGAAAAATGGCTCCTACTTCTCAAAATAATGTCCGACAAGACGCTCCCAGTGAAACGTATCATCGCTGGTCCATTCGTTCGGTCGCTGTGTTCGGAAATGTAACGCCACTAATTTGACGTGTTTAATATTTGTTCCAGAAATTCGATCTACACCATCAGCTGTATATTCAACACCAAAGAAATAAGGTGATAAATCAAGATCACGTCCGAATAATTGCATTATAGGAAATGAAAGTTCAATTAAATCATGACCATTGTTGCTATTTGTATTGCTTCTGCTACTGTTTTTGTCGAAATGTTTCGCCGTGTTGAGAAGTAGTCCATTCTGAAAATTTTTGGCTTTTATGAGCATTTACTACTGGGAGAAAAAAAAAATCCAGTGTGACAAGTATACAAGATTTGACACGTTGTCAGTCTTCTAACTAAATCCTCTGAACTGTAGAAGTGAACCAGCTATACCTATGATCTAAGTAATTTCTTTTCTTTTTCATCTCAGTTTTATGCAAACATCTGTTGACATGAGCATTACCTATCAAAACTTATCATTTAACGATTATTAACAATAAAAGGATAACTTTTGATAGTTATTAGAACCAATGAAAGAGCGAGGAATTTCACTGTAAATCAGTTTTCAAAAAGATTAGCTAAGAGATTAGTAGGGTCACTTTTTTCTTAATATGACTTTCATTTTTTCCGAGCAAAAAATCCAATTACTTGGAATTAGTTGTACAAAACAATTATTAGAATCTCTTCCTCAAAAAAAAAAAAAAAAAAAACTTACTCTGAATTGCCGAACTGGCTCATTGACATCACAAAAATTTCTGCACATCTGGTAATAGGTATAATTTTTGACGGGGAAATGTGTCCCCACATAGTCAACGATATTCAAAATTTCATTCAAATGAGATAATCGGGTAACGGAACCCCCATCTTTTGCCGTAACAATGATAATTACTACCACTGGATCTTTGCCATCGTTGAATTTTCGGAAAACTTCTAATTCATTGAAGGCACGAGCATTTGGCGGTGTATAACCTGACTGAAGGTTATCCTTCGGTTTAACAAATAATAATTTTGAGGATGTTAATATCGTCAGTAATACTATTACCTGAAAACAAAGTGATAATAGATGGCATAAAAGGTTAGAATACAGTATGAACTTAGGATTTTAGGTCTACAGTTTCTTACCACAAAATGTTTAATGGATTATGAGATTTAAACTCAAATATTAAAATATTCATTTAAACATTTTATGAGTTTGTTTTGACCAAATGGATGTTCCCCGTTATGCAACTAACCATACATTGTCACTGTCTTAAATAAGACATCCAGACTATAGTGAACTTTGAACTAGTCGTTCGCAATTTTAATTTATATATAACACACAGTATTTTACTGAACAGTGGTTGTTTGGTTGGTTACTTCACAAAAAGATTGGTCTGATGAAAACCAAAGTCGAAAAATGCTAAATTTCAAAGAGTTTAAAATGCTGATGAAAAACAAAATGTGGACTCAAAATTGTTAAGTATAGCTAAAAAGCTAAACTGCGTAGCTAAAAATAAAGCTAAACCATTCATCTGATTTACTCCTTTCCACTTTTTTTTTTGCTTTTTACAGCCTCTGTTCCATTCTTTTCAAACCAGTTGCAAATTTTACGACTTCAATTCCACTCTTCACTAAACACTGACTTTCAGGACTTGAGGACAAAATTATGCTAGATGAGGCAAAGTTTGTAAGGCAATGAATTGCGTTCCAAAACATTTGGAACAGGCAGTGGATTATCAACGGCTAATGATTACCATAATGCAAAGATAATAAAATAATTATAGGACCTCAATTAAAAAGTCACATTTCAACGAAAAAATAGGGACAATTTGCTTATCTAAATAATTTTCATAGTTTAGTACCAAATGTTTTAAAAATAGTAAATTTCTGTTACCAAATAACCTTAAAATTTAAATTAATCATGCAGACTTCATCATAATAAGCCCATTATGTATGATGCATCAAATATGAATACTTTTCAGCAATATTTGATTGTCTGATGTTCATTTTCTGAATGAATACGGTGACTGGACGTTCCGATTTTAAAATGGGTCTCAATTATTTACTTCGAACAATTAACAGTTGCGTTATTAATATCTGTGATTGAAAGAACGCCTTGAAGGTATCAACTAAGCAACTAGTCAATTTCTCATTTGAGCCATTTAATTGAACCTATCTTTGAGTCTTTTAGCAGCTACAAACTGTACTCTGAATACGAATTAATTCGTTTTTTCTATCGTTTTTATTTCTATCGATCATATGTTTTCGTTCATGTATTTTTTGTTAGCTGATTGAAATAAAAATAAAATGAAATGAAGAGTCATAAAAATTATGATGTGCAATAATTTTTGGAGTTTCAAAATTCATATGTAAAGCAAAGTAACGAATTCAAGGTTTTTGAGGATAAAAATGAACAAAGTGAAAATTAAATTATTCATATCATTAGAGTTCCAGAATATTTGAAATTTTTTATGAAACTGTTTATTTTTGACAAGGAAACAAATTTTCTTAAATAAATGTTCGAGACTGCTCAATTAACTGCTGTAATGAAAATAATTGCGTTCAACAGGCACATTGTGGCAAAATTTATCCCTGTGATTAGTCAACTTCTTCATTATCATTATATATCAAGTTTGCAGAACCATTTAAGAGAAATAACCTTCTTTTTATTCTTTCCTTTCTTCTTCTTCTTCTCTTCAGCTCCTTTTTAGGGCAAACGAGACAGAAAAATGGAACAGGTTTTAACTGTGCAATTTGAAGCAATTGAACAAATATATACATTCTCTAGACTAGTTTTTCTACATTTACAGTTGAGTGTTTTGATAATTTTTTGAAAGATTTTTGAACACTGAACACTGCACTAATTTGTTTGTCGAAGAAATTAGAATATTCAGTTAAATTCAGTTAAACACCGTGTAAAACAATTCAAACATAAATGTTTGATCTTAAAAAGGAAAACAGTTTCAAATTTGAAGTTTTCACTGCTGAATACGGTAACCTTACAATAGCAACTTGCAACTGCATCAGTCTATTACGATTTTTCAAAACACCTATTTTAAATAATTTTCAGCCAAGCATTTATAAACTATTCTGAGTTCAATCAATTAGAAAACTCTAGGAAAATTCCTAGACTTGAGTGGAGACTGAAACTATGATCGTCAGTAAGGTCGATCTTCCTTCTATCATGATATTCCTAATGTCATTCAGGGGTCAACTGATGGGACAGTCTTTTCTGAATTTATATAGTTTAAAGCGTTATCATGTTCTTATTATGTAGATTAAATAATTAATTTATTTTTACAAAAAACATTCAACGGTTTAGAAGCAACATCGCAACATCTCCACTTCGTAATGCTGCTCCACACAGTTTTTCAATAAAATTTGTTTTTCACAATCACTGAATCCAACATATCAGTTTCTTATACTATGGGGATACCGAGATATACATCCACAAATATAGCTACTAATTCCGACAGCAAAACCATATTTCACACAAAAAGCACAAATTTACAGTAAAAATATTTGTAACGTTATTTAAAAGTTTGAAGGCTAGAAAATTCACTTACCGTAATAACTATGCGTGGATAATCGGCGGATATGTAAGCGATCCGCTCAAGAAAGCAATTCAAGAAGTGGATAAACTTAGTTGGTCGATGATATGTCGTTACAGTGGTATCATCGTGCATTTTTCGCTTGTAGAATGTTTGAAAGAGTTGTAGAATGAGGTGATACGAATCCCACTACTGTCGCTTCTACTATTACTTATTGCTTCTGTCACAAAAGAAATGGGAAGGTTTCGCTTGCTGCCGACAGTCGTTGAAACCAGAGTGAAGGTGTCATAAGGAGAAAAAATGGGGGGCGGGAAAAGAGGCGAGCTGAACTGAGGCGTGACGAACCCGAAGTGAATTCTTAAACCAGTCCGCATTCGCTTTGTCTTCGTCTTTTCTAAGAATCTGGTTTTAATGTATTAGCCTAATCACATATATACTTTTGAGTTGTTGCTTCGACCTACCGCCATATAACAAACTTTCCAATCTTGAGATTGTCAGTTTAACTGCTCATCAAATCGCGGGAAATTGGCCACTCACTAATAGTGCTAAATGGTATGTATATTGATTGTCCCTGTGCGTGTATTCAAACATGCGAAATATATTTAAATATCAGAATTTATAGCTGAACACAATTTAAACATTCATCGCTTATTAAAGAAGTTGAAAAAACCCATGTCCTACGAAACATCTATCTTATTAGCTACAAATCCGTTTTATGAAGTGATTTCATAATTTTTCAAAGGTTTTTTTATTATTTCAAAAAGATAGTGTTTTGATGCATTTGGCATAATGAAATTATTCAGGTTGCTGACAACTTTTTCTCGTAAAAGATGAAAATTTTGAGTAATAATTAATAACACACAATTTCAACACACATTTTTAAATAGAAAACTCGTTTATTTGCTTATTTGATGGGTAAACTGTTCACACAGTTTTTATGTATTCGCTGGTTCATTCGCGGTCAATTGAAGTGATGTCTCCACTACACTTCGTATTTCTCCCCCAGAGATCAAACATCAAATTTAATGGTAACTTCAACTCGTATATCCTTCAATTCCTCTTCCTGCTATCAAATACTATGAATGATAATTAGTCATGTGCAATCCCACTCATTTGACTCAGTTTAACACACGTATTTTTGGTCATCAAAGTATTCAGATAATGAATAATCATATCACATTTTAAACTATTAAGTAAAGATTGAAGATGTTAAGGTTTCCAACCTCATTCGGAGTTTATGTAATAAGATGGTAAAAAAAGATGCATAGATAGGACAGCAATGCTTAAAATTTTCAGTAGATGTTAATCCTAATTACTTTGTTACTGTTGTCACTTTTCGGTTTAAAACGATAACTGCAAGTCGATGTGGAAATATAAAAGCGATTTTTTAGAAACGAATAACAAAAAAAGAAATAAAAATAGAATCTAACTAAGAACTATCGCTTGTTATGATTTTCAATTATGTACTTGTCGAAATCTCTCTGTTCTAAATGAAATGAGTAATTCAACATAACCGAGAAAATGCTATCCAACCAATTTTTTCACTGATGTACATATGATAGAAAAAGTGCATTCAAACATGACTAAGAAAGGATATATCGAGGAGGAAACAAAATGAACTGAATATAAATTATACAAATATTCAGTTTTATAATTTTCGTTACTGAATTAATATTTTAAACTGCCACGAGTGATAGAAGATGACCGTTACTTAAACTATTTCTGCTGAGTGAGCTGTCTTTAATAATGTCATCACATCAGCATAGTATTAAACAATCCCAAAGACATGTTATACACCAGTATAACCCTGCATACATTCAAACAAAGAAAAAAAAGTCGGTTATCCATTCAAAATATCATTTGGAGTAGGACAGCTGTAAAGTTTTATAAGTCGTTTTGGTTGGTCAAAGCTTTACAATGGAAATCAATAAGTACCATGCAGTTCATTTTTCAATTTCTGAATAATGTCGAATAAGAATTAATGGATGTCAATTATGAATGGCAAAAATATCAGCCTATGCTTTCATTTTGTTTGTAGCATAATAGGAATTTCATAACCACCTCTAAACTCCCCTCACCCTCCCTAAATCTTGCCGTAAGCGAAGATAACTTTAGAAATGAATGTTATAGTACATATGTTAGCGCTCAGAATTCACCAACAGCAACTAAAGTAGTAATCCCATATTCAAATTTTAATAGCATCTCTTCACCCAACACATAGTTTCATCACTTGAAATTACTAGATTTAAAGGCCAGCAAATTATAACTTCTACTACTAAGTTCTGTTACTTAAATGGGACATTAACCAGCAAAATACTACTCCAAGCATTATTAAAATACAGGATCTATTATCCGTCAAACGTTACTTGTTAGTTGAACAATTCTTTCAGTCTTTTAGTTGAATCATAAGAAAATAAAACATTATTAGCAGCAGATGTACTAATGAATTTGCACAGCGTCCTCTCCTTCCAAAACATTCTGTCCAGATGTAATTGAAACCTGCAATTCCTTTTATCCCTTAATTTCAAACTTCCATGCACTAATTTACGGAAAAATCAATACTTACTCTATTATCAAAACATAACACCGTCACTCAACAAACTTCGGCTCATATTTGACCAATCAGCTTTTGGTGCAATCATACATACAAAATAGCTATTGGAAAAAATCTACTAGGTGCTTTTTTCATTATGCTTGTTCCAACTTACTTAACAGTAAAATAAAAACCCAAGAACTGAAAGAAAAAAAAATTGTTTCCCTAAGCTAAAATGAATTTAAACATAACGGTTCAATTTCGTTTTCAAAAAAAAACTTTTTGAGAAGTTACTATATATCGAAAATTATCGATATATAGTAACATTTTCTCCCATGGTAGCTTATTTCTCGTCTTCAGAAGGCTTATTTGCTAATTCTTAACAGTGTTTGAACAAATAAATCTCACAACTTTTGATAATAAATCAATTCACTAGTTGGATTACTACATTTATATACTGGAATACAAACTGCATGAGCGACAAGTTCTGTTTATGAATAGGTCGTTCAGTGTAGCGAACAGAAAAGAGTGGGTATTAACTAGTCCAATAACTAAAAGTAAGGAAACTGTCTGATCACTGAATTCCAAGTCTTCACCAGAAAAATGCAGAGTTCGCAAAATGAAACCCTGTCCAATTTGCTTGTCCAAGAGAGGTCACCTGTTATCAATTGTACATTCTCTTCATAGATACTTCATCTCGTTGAACTGGTTGTTTCCATTACCTTCTCTCCTACTCTAACCTACTGACATGAAGTAAATATGCTGAATTCTGTTAAGACTGATGATCCAATGAATTAAATAAGTTTTGCTAAGACTGATGATCCAATGTCTGCTAAGACTGATGATCCAATGAATTAAATGAATTAAACTGATAATTTTTGTACAGAAACATTTCCCCATGAACTGGCATTAAACACGAATTTTCTGAACTGAAATGGCTCATTAGTAGAAACAGAGTCTTCAGGACTACTCGAACAAAGCGAACAAAGGATGAGTTCAAATTTTGCAATTCTAAAAGTACCTAGATAGAACCACATCCCATAACCTTGAATTTCAATACGTATCACGCAAACCTACTCTAATTTTTGTTTTTGAGGTATGTGCTGTCAAAATTCTTCTGACTATGTAAGAACCAAATTCTTATTTGTGTAAAAAAAGCTTCGAACTTTAACCAGAAAAGTTTGAGACGATTATCACTGACAACAATATAATCAAATTCATTCTTCCAAAAGCCTAGGACAAAAATCATTTCCTCTTTCTCCTCGATTTTCCAATTTTGCTATTCTGGTACCAAATTGCATAGCACGTTTCGGAGTGAGACATAACGACTGTGGTGTTCCCAGTAGCTAAAAAAACATTCACAAATGAAAATGCACTAAAAATCTTACTGCAACAACACACACAACTTACCTTTAATGCCTCTCGCACCAACCACTTTTCTCCAATCCCTCGAGGTTGCGTAAAGTCGCTTCTATATTCCAGAGGTAAGGAGGTAACCCATTCAACAAATAAATCATCAAGAAATGGAGACCTAAAGACAGAAAAAGAACTGAAACAAAAGCTGTTCAAGTAAAGCCTTTTGAACAAACCATTTATACAAAGGAAATTATACAGGAGAAAGTGAAACAAACCAGCCAAAAAATCACTTAATCAAATTTAACTTGACGGTATTCTAGTAGCAAAACATCAAAAGTTCAAATTGAACACGTGAGTAAATTAAAGGAACAAACTTTAGATCTTTGCCTAGACTTGAAACCACTCTATCATCACGCCCAAGATTTCTTTCACCAATGTTTCTTAGTTCTTCATGTAATTCCTCCACTACAGCATTTCTTCCTCTCTTTAAATAGGTAGTTCTATGCCGCATGTAACCACCAAACAATTCATCTGCACCACTACCAACAACTACAGTTACAGCTTCTGATCTAAAACAGAAAGACGCCAACTAAACTTGAAAATTCACTTAAACATCTCAATACAATTTCACTGACCGGAATTCATCAATTTATGGAGAGAATAAAATCTGCTTCATTCAAAACATATGGATGTTTAAAACCCCAAGTGATATAAATTTTCATAAAATTACTAACTTTTCAGGTACGAAGGGTTTTTTCTCATCTTCAAACAAGAGTCCTTCTCCACGAGCGGCGAACCATTGCACGCATCCAATCGAATCATCTAACACAGAGCAAGCTGGAGCAACTGCACTTGATATGTACTTTTTTCGGCAATACGCCAATTCATTGAGATCAACATCAACCAGAAGCAGACGAAAGGAGAGTTCAGGATAACAAGATTTTAAATATTTGAATGCTTTTTTACTTTGTTGTCGGTCTGGAGCTTCATCATAATTCTTGAAACAGATTTTTATTTGCCTCGAAAGAAATAAAAATAAAAATTAGTAGTTCTAAGAACAAACAAAAAAAATACAGACCTTCCTCTTGGCAAAAGCGACATTCACTAAATCCAATAGTACATTTTGCGGCATACATTGAACCATTAAATGAGCAACTAACAAACTGTCAACACCACCACTGAATGATAATGATATACATTTTGTAAAAATATCCAAGCTAGAAACTGTACGGCATACAGCTTCTTT